GGCAAGCACACCTGGCTGGCACACTTGTTGGTGCCCATCTGCAGGCTGATGGTGGAGTGGTCCATGGGAGGCAAGATGTGGTTCTTGGGGTCATAGAGGTGCCGTCTCATGCCATAGGCCGTCATGCCTGACTGACTGGCACATTTATTGGTGCCCATCTGCAAAAGGTGGGAGAGAGGTCAGGCTGGCATGGCCGACTTGTGGGTCAGCAGTGGGTTGTGTGGAATCCCTTAGGAGGTGGGGAGCCCAGCCCTACCTGGAGTCCGATGACACACTGGCCCGCCTTCATGGTGGCATCATCGAAGTTCCGCTCCTGCTTCTCGGAGTATTTCACACCGATGTCCACGCCGCTCTGCAGACCCTTTGTCTTGGCCTGGGGGTGGGTTGGGAAGGGGCTCTGCTCTCACGGTTCTGCCCCCTGCACCTGCCTTCCAGCACCTCAGGGGGACTTCCAAGTCAGCCACAGTGGATTGGGGTACCCAGCTCGTGCCACCTCAGGCAGCCCCGGTCCCAGGACATCCTCACGGTCTGTCCTCTCTCACGCACCTGTCTGTCCACCAGAGTCCCATCACCTGTCCCTGACCAGCCAGCCTCACTCACATGGTCCCCTGCCCCATTCCTCTCTGGCCTCCATCTCCACAACCCCTCAGGGAGCCTTTGCAAACACTGCCTGCACAATCTCCTGCACCATCCCTCATCGCCATTCCCAAGTCCACGCTGGGTGCCACAGCAAAGCTTGCCGCTCCCTCCTCGGACCAACACTGTTCCATGCACTCTGTTGGTCTCCGTGAAAAGGCCATTGTTTCTAAGAAGCCTGCTCTGTCCACACTGGTCTAATTCAAGGCACGTGGCCAATTTATTCAGAAGTCCTCATTGTCACGGAAGCTAGACTTTCTGGATCCACAGAGGCTGGATGAACTCCTGTAACTGGTATCCTGAAAGCATTTTTTAACCTGAAACCAAAAATATCTTCACCCAGAACAATGGTTTGGCTTGTTTAGAAACCGTATCAGCATTGTACTCTTTTGAAGAGTCATCTCTGTGGAACAGGAAGTGTGGCGGATGTGAGCTCACGTTAGCAGTGAGGCGGCCCAGGGCAGGAAGGGGGTGCAGGCACTTGCAGGGCGTCCTCAGGACGCCGCTGGAGATGCCACAGCTCAGGGTTGGCCTTTACTTTCAACAAGAGCAGCTTGCTCAGCATGTGCTTCCTCAGTCCCACCGAGCCCCTTCCACAGCGGGATGGACTGTGTCCAGTCTGCTCACCACCCAACCCTGAATGCCAGGGCACTCAGAAGGATTTGCAAATGAACGAACCTAGGGGTGGGCCTGAGCCCCCTCTCCGGGTGACCCTGCACCCCCTCTTCAGGTCACCCAGCACCCCCTCTCCAGTGACCCTGTGTCCCCTCCCTCTCTGGTGACCCTGCATCCCCTCTCCAGGTGACCCTGAGTCCCCTTCTGGGTGACCCTGCACCCCCTCTCCGGGTGACCCCGCACCCCCTCTCCGGTGACCCTGTGTCCCCTCCCTTTCTGGTGACCCTGCATCCCCTCTCCAGGTGACCCTGAGTCCCCTTCTGGGTGACCCTGCACCCCCTCTCTGGGTGACCCTGCATCCCCTGTCCGGGTGACCCTGCACCCCCTCTTCAGGTCACCCAGCACCCCATCTCCGGTGACCCTGTGTCCCCTCCCTCTCTGGTGACCCTGCGTCTCCTCTCCAGGTGACCCTATGCCCCCTCTCCGGGTGACCCTGGCCACCCATCTTCATCCTCACCTTCCCGGCCAGGGCAAGCAGAGACACCTGCACCTGAGTCATGTTCCCACTCTCAAACAGGTCGTTGGCCTCAAACAGGTCCACGGGGTTCATGCCGTAGCTGACCATGGCCTTGATGAAGTGGGACAGGTTTTCTAGCTGGGAGGGGCAAAGGGAAGAGCCATCAGGACCTCCTGCTGGTGAGCAGTAAGTCCCGTCCACCTCCCTTCCAGCCCCTGCCCTTACCTGGTGCCAGTTCTGCATGGAGCGGTTGATCTTGGGGATCGAGCCTGGCTGCAACTTGTTCATAAGTCTGGGGGGACATGGGGAGAGGGGAAGATGGGCATCCATCTGGTGGACCAGTTCTAGTCTTGGCCATGCCCCTGCCCCAGCAGCCGAGTTGGCCTCAGTTTCCCTCTTGTAATCTCTCACCCACCAAATGGGCAAGGATGCCAAAGGCGGGCAGCACCAATGTTTCTGAAAACAGGTTCTCAGAAGTGAATTTGGGGCTTTCCATTAACGTTTCAATGTGCAAAAGCACTAGGTGTTGGGAATGCGGAGCGACAGAGAACGCCATCCAGACAGTCCGGAAGTGCTCCCGGGCAAGGGCGGGTGAGGTGGGATGCTCGCTGTTAGAGGTGCCACACGAAGCAGCAGGACAAGGACAAGGACGCCCCGGTGGGGGCAGGTGTACCCACGTGCACAGGATGACACCGTCCTTCAAGCCCTTCTGGAAGTCGGGGCCGATCTGGAGCCCGGTGAGCTCCTCCATCCAGCTGCGGAGCTCCAGCTCCTTCTGAGAATCATACTTGGACAGGAGCTGGTGGAGAGGGCAGAGTTGAGGCCACACCCCCAGGAGCCCCGTGGAGCTCCTGACTAGAGGTGGGGTCCTGGTGGTCCCCAAGCTCCCAAGCTGACGCTGCCCTTCCATCAGCAGGACCCCCAACGCTTGCCCACTGGTTTCGAGAAATCTCGCAGAAGCAGAAGCACAACCACTTATAAACATCTTTCTGGTTCACCAAGGTGTTGCTGTCTCCAAAGGCACCAAGCCGGACTCCAGCCGGACTGGACTGCGTGTGTCCCCCACACCGGCTCATCTGCTCCCAGGTGGACACGGCACTCCTTTAAATCGTGTGACCATTCCACCAGTGACCACGCCACCGTGGAGAGTGTGTCTCAGCAATGTTAGGTACCTCACATGCTGTGATCTCACCTGATCTCCTTCTAGAACATTCTCAACACTGTAAGAGGAAGCTCCATGCCAAGCAAGCAGCTACTCCTGCTGCCCCCACCCCCCAGCAGCCCTGGTCCCCTGTCCTGTGGGTTCGGACGTTTCCTGGACGTGGCATCATGTGGCGTATGGGACCTCTCATGCCACACGGTGTCCAGGTCCACTGCGTCCCAGTACGGTCCTGTGTGCCTGAGAACGGTCAGCACAGACGGTGGGCCGCATGGTGTGTCCATCATCTGCTGATGGACACATGGGTCATTTCCACCTTTCAGGGAATGAACACCGTGTATGTGTTCTGAACATCAGATGAGGGGTGGCCGGCTCAGGTGGGACTGACTGCGGAACCCCCACATCTTTCATTTCGCAGCCCCCCACCCCAGGCCTGGTCCCAGGCTCTGCACTGCTCTCACTGCTGACTCAGCAGTCCGGGCAGGCCAGTCTGTCCCTTCAGTCAGTGGTAGTGGTCACTCCCTGCGTCCCCTCTCCTGAACACTGTGCTGATTTCTTCCTAGCCTTCAGCTCCCACCTCTCATGGTCCTCTGGCTGACGTCCACCTCAGGCCTGGCTCTGCAGACCTGGCTGGGGTGAGTGTGGTCCGAGCCCCGACTCAGAACTCCCACTCCTCATCCAGCACACCTACAACCTTCTAGGGAGGGGCATCGAAGGCCCAGAAAGCCGGGAGTCAGGGAGATGGAGGAGGTGAGGGGACGGGCCAGCAGCTTCTCGGCCTCAGACCCTCCTCAGCTTTGCTCCACAAGCTGTCCCCCCCAGCTCTGCCTCCACTCCCTCCAGCCTCAGTTTCCCCACGTCTGGACTCCTGGCACAGAGGCCCCTGAAGTGGGCCCTGCTTCCTGCTTCCCTTGGGCTCCGGAGCTGGCCGGGGCGGGGCAGGGCTCAGGGGAGACAAAGCAGAAAGGCGGCCCCTAACCCGATCCCGCCGTGCAGTTCCCACGGCCCCTGGAGCTGGCCGGCGCAGACACCTCCCTGCCTGTTACCACAATGGGGGCGGCAAGCCTTGTCCAGACGTGCCCCGCCCTCCACGGCTTGGAGGGGAGGGCAGGGGTCTTCCTGAGCGGTGCCCAGCCTGGCCCCACCCACCAGGCTGACTCCCTCCCCCACTGCCCCGCTGGCCGTCGGCACATTCCTCAGTCACCACGAACCGTCAGGAATGCGGCGGCAGCTTTGCCGGCTAAATCAGGGCCAGCTGTGTCCAGGGGTTCAGACCCCCCCCACCCCTGGATAGGGTGTCACAGCCAGGCTGTTCCAGCAAGAAGCCGCCAGAGTGGACAGGGCATGACCCTCAAGGCAGAGAAGCTTCCAACTTGGGCGCAGTTCTGAGGGGGCAGCTCTCCTGCCCATTGTCCAGATCCGGCAGACTGAGGGCTGCTGACAGGGGCCTGGCGCTGCACCAGGGCTGACCTCACCCCTGGCCTGCAGGTGCCGACTTGCCCCTGCTGGGGGAGGTGCCCCGCCCACAGGTCCTGGTTTACTTCCTGGCTCAGAAACAAGGCAGGGGCACCAGACCCTGGGCCTGGGCGCAAACCTCTGTCACTGTGGTCGGCTTCGCCATCCAAGCTCCAAGACGCTCCCAGGACGCGGGGCTGCACACTGGCTCTTGGGGGTGAAGGATGATAAAGAGTTCCATCCAATGCTAGCTGGGAGGTATCCTTCCTCCTGACTGGGCCTTGGTGCCTGCCGCCCAGAGGCCCCAGCACCAGGTGCAGGCTGGCAAGGCTGGTGCCCTTTTGTCCAGGCAGGCTCCAGGCTTAGCGGCCAGGCTCCCGGTGGTCCCCTGGTGCGATGGAAGTGAGGGTGCACACCCCTCCAGCCCAGTCACCACCAGATCTCCCCTTCTGGGTGCAGGAAGACCCTTCAAAGAGTCTGCCATGTCTGGCGGGACCACAGCGCTTCTCCCTCACCCTCTTCTGTGTTCCCAAGTTACAGGCCCACAGTCGGGACCCCACACTGTCCCCTGATGTTTGTTCTGTGGCCACAAAAAGAATTAAGTATGGGAGACGCCCCAGCAGCTCCACTTCCTTCTCCCTCTCAGGTGGGTGGCGGGAAATTCCTGGGGGGGGTCCCCGCCCTCCGCAACAAGGCCAGGCCCCGCCCCTTCCCCATCCCCAAAGCAGGAGTGCTACCTAATGGGACCAGGGGGCCAGCTGGGGTCCCCTCAGACCTCCAGGGCACTCTGTCTGGGGCTTTGACACTTTCCAGGGGCGCAGAACTCAGGATGTTGGAGGGGAGCCTGGCCCCTCTCCTCCTAGAACCTGGGGTGGGGCGTGGCTGGCTCTCCCAGACACCAACTTCATGTCACCCCAGATTTGGACGAAGCTCATGGAGTGTCCCCAGACCAGCCCGGAGGAGACAGGGTAAGGGGGTCTGGCTCGCCGCAATCTCGGACTGCCTGCCCCCCGACGCCCCTCCCCACGCCCTGAGCAGCCGACTCCGGGCGCAGCGGCTGCGGGGGTCCCGGGGCCCTGCTCACCCGGTTCTTGACCTCAGCCGAGAGCCCATACGACGGGCCCTTGTTGAACTGCGTGGAGCTCATGGTGGCGGCGCGCACTGGATGCGGGACCCGCTGGGCGCTGGCCCCGCGCCACGCCCCCGCCGCCCATTGGCCCGGCGCGCACATGTCCTTATAAGGCCGGGCAGCGCCGATGCCTGCGGCCGGCCACGGCTTCCGCCGCCCCGGCTGCCCGCCTCGCCGCCCCGGGGGGCCTCGCGATCTGGCCCCGACGGTCAGCTGAGGTGGGACGGCTGGGGCCTCCTGGTGGCCGCGCCTCACACTTGCTGCGCGTCCCTAGGCACCCTCAGCCGTCCTGGGACTCAGTTTACCCTCCTGCACCAAGTCTAGAGAGGGACGGATTGACAGGAACCAAGATAGAAAAAGATGAGGAGCTCTGGTGGCCTTGAGGACTTTTGTCTCCCACCCAACGGCAGGCACTTAGAATCCAGCCCCTGCCCCTGACAGAAAGATGTGCAATCTCCTCTTGTGCAATTTACAATCTCCTGCAAGTCAAGAAGTTGGTTCTGAGTCCTCACAGCAGAGCTTGGCTGTTGAGTTCTTGTTGAGTCTGGAACACTGGCTGTTGAGTTCTTGTTGAGTCTGGAACACTAAGCCCCTGGGGCTATGAGACTTCTCCTCCTGGCACTGCCCCCTCCCTCACTGCACCCCTCTTCTCCACTGGACCAGCCCCTTCCCAGGCACCCACTCAGCATAGCTGATTAGCAAAGCAGACAGATGCAGGCCCATCGAAGCCCCTCAGAGCAGAGGGCCACTGGGACTGGGGCAGTGATGTTTAAGTAGGAGTTTGCCGACCCAAAGGAGAATGATGTTCCTGGCAACATCACCACCAACAGAAGCCACACACAGGATCACGAGTCAGTTCTGACCCTAGATGCCCCCCTGGACGGAGCCTCCAAGGCTGGCAAGCTTTACGGGGAGAGATCACCCAGCATCCTCTCCATCCATATGCTGGATTCAAGAGGCTGGATCTCATGAAGAGCGTGGCATCAGGACCGGAGGAAGACTCATCAACAACCTGTGTTACGCAGATGACACAACCTTGCTCCATGAGAGTAAGGAAAATCAAGGACTGTAGTCTTCAATATGGACTGCATCTCAACATCAAGAAAAAAAAAATCCTCACCACTGGACCAACAGGCAGCATCATGATAGAGGAAGAAGATGGATGTTGTTCATGGTTTTTCTCTTGCTTGGATCCCCAATCCCTTGGCACCAACAGTCAGGAAATCAAAAGACAAGTTGCATGGGGTACATATGCCCTCAAGGCCTTCTCCAGAGTGCTAAAGAGCAACGATGTCAGTCTAAAGACTAAGGTGTGCCTGATCCAAGCCACAGTCTTCTCAATTACTCACCATGCATCTGAGAGCTGGACAATGACCAAAAGTGACAGAAGAACAGATCGATGCCTTTGAGCTTTGGTGCTGGAGAAGAATATTGAACATGCCATGGACCTCCAGGAGAACAGAAAGAAAGGTCTGTCCCAGAGAGGGTGAAACTAGTTAACTCCTTGGAGGCAAGGATTTTGAAGTTCTGTCTCATATACTTTGGGCATGTTTCCAGGAGGACCAGTCCTTGGAGGACATCATGCTCAGAAGAGTGGAGGGACAGCGCAGGAGAGGAAGACCCCAGATGAGATGGATGGATTTATGTGGGCACTGTGGTATTGGGATCAGCGGTCAGATGAAGAGGTGGCCTCTGGATGGTCAGGTTCCAAGCCATTGTTCACAGGGTCACTATGGGCCGCAGTCGACTCGAGGGCGCCCGACAACACTAACATCCCTCTTCGTGAGTGCCCACCCACGGCCATGACCCTCCGGCAGGCACAGTGGCCTGGAGGAACACCTGTGGTCAGATGCCCGTAGCGGTCAGCTTGCGGAGGGATGCTGAACAGGGAGGGAGTCCTGAGATTGGGGCTGAGGGATGGAGGGAAGTTGAAAGAGTGAGTGGAAGAGATGGGTCAAGAGTTGGAAGTCCAGGGCACCTGGCACAGGGCTGTGGCTGCCCGGCCTCCAGGGCAGGCGTGCGGCTGGTGCTCAATAGGCCTCTATTTGTGCAACTGTATTAGTGAAATAGCGAAAAATCAACAGAATGCCATCTGATTCAGGGGAGCTGCCTGCCACAACCTCGGGCAGCTAGAAGAGGCTGGCTCCTGGAGAGACCCGAGCCCAGGAAGAAAGACCAAGGCCGGCCCGACTCCTCCTGCCCCGTCCAGTCGGGTACAGGACAGAGGAGGAGCCTGGGGAACACGGAGGGGAAGGGAAGGCTCTGCTGGGGCGGTCAAAGCAGGCTGTGTTTAAGAGTGGACACAGGAGACGGGCCTTGGAAGCATGAGTAGAAGTCTGACAGATTTGACCAGTGGCTGGTTGAGTTCTGTGGGGGCTCTGAGCTGACTCGTCCTGATGAAAGCCTCTACCTTGGGGTCTGTTTCTTCCTCCTCTGCCTGCATTCCCCAGGTCCATCTGCCTGAGGGCTCCTGTCTTCAGGATCCATGTCTCTTCATTTCATGGTCTCAGTTTTCTTGTCTGTGAAATGGGGACAGTGGAGAGCTGCCCTGTGACCAGCGGCCCTGCAGGTCAATGGGTTATGGGCGGGAGCTGTAAAGAGGGGGAGACGCCCTCCTCACATTTCATCGCCAGCCCTGGCAGGCCCACTGCTGGTGGCCGTGTGGGGGCAGAGCTGCAAGAGGCAGGGTTTTTACAGGACTGCCAAGCCCTCTTTCTGAGGTGCCCCTGGGAGGGGCCAACCACCAGCCAACTCAGCAGCCCATGCAGACACCCCCACCCACCCCGGGATCTGGCAGAAGTCCAGACCTAGGGAAGTGTGTCCTGATTCTGCAACCTCACCGCCAATCGAGCCTGGCTCACCACTTGGCGGGTGACCTCATTCTGTGAGCCCACATCTGCGAGCCTCAGTTTCCTCATCTGTAAGATGGGTGTGATTTCCACCACTTGCGTCAGCGTGCTGGTGGCCATGGCTGCTGGCAGGAGTGGGGCCACTGAGCTGCCATCAGCCGGGCAGCACAGGGGCAGGTCCAGCGCTTCCAGGCCGGGACAGGCAGGCTGGCACCACGTGTTCTGTGCGGAAAGTGAGACAAGGAAGGTGCGGGGTGGCCGTTGTGTCCTCCTGCTGTCCTAAGTCACGGGGAGGCGAGCTGGGACATGGCGCTAACGGCAGGGTCAGGGCCCGGGGCCGTTGTGGACGTGAAAGGGGACCTGTTCAGGGGTGCTGAAGAGGCACCGGATGTGGGGTCCCCAACAAGGAGGCCTGAGTCAACAGATGTCACACCAAAGGAATTCTGATGGCCCTGGGTAACCCTGGGCTCCTCTCCCAGGTGCAGGGCCCCTGTGGCTGCCTGCACCCTCTGACCCTAGGAGCCAGTGGGGCTAAGGGGGATAGTGGTCACACACAGAGGTCCTTGGTGCTCTGGGTGGGGCCCCACGACCCCACAGAGCAGACACGGTGGCCGGCTGCCCGGTGTCTCGGTGGTGGGAGCAGGGCAACGAGGGGCCATCACAGCTTCCTACACTGAGGGGTTCTGGGGGATCCCTACTGGTCCTGCTGCTTCCTCCCAGAACATCATGGGGGAAGGAGCAGGATTCAGCCTTGTGTGCGACAAACAGCTCCCCATGGGGCAGCCTGTGGACTCCGCAGCTCACACTCTGGTCACAGCTCCCAGTGCTGCCCAACGCCAGCCTCCAGGCCCCGTCCCCTCTGTGCTACGATCTCCTGGACCTTCCCCTAGATAGCCCTTCTCTCTTCCACCCCCAGGTGCCCTCTGATCTTCCAAGTATCACATCCTCTCCAGAAATGGGCCCCTCCTCCCAGCACGCCTGAAGGGCCCTCCAATCCCTCCACGCCACCTCCCAGGCACTCGGATGCCCTTGTTCCAACAGAGACTTGCTCGTTCTCTTGGCAGTTCGTGGTGTACTCAATGCTCTTCTCCGAGACCACTCCTCAGAGGTCTCATTCTCAAAGTCTTCCTCACTGACACCAGATTTCACATGCATGTTTTGTTGTGTGCTGTCAAGTGGGACCAATCCGTAGTTGTCCCTCCAGGGGATTTTCAGAGACTGCAAGTCACACAGGAGGAGATTGCCCATCTTTCTCTTGAAGAGCAGCTTGTGGATTTAAACCACGTACCTTTGGGTTAACAGTGCAAACTGTGGCTTGGGGCAGGTGCACCTTAGTCTTGAAGCTGACTTCCTTGCTCTTTAGAACATTGAGAGGTCCTTGACAGCGCTGCCCCTTGCAACACACCTTTTGATTTCTTAATTGCGGCTGCTCTGGAGGTTGATTGTGGATCCAAGTGACACGAAATTGTGGACGTCGTCAGTCTTCTCTCCGTCTGTTATGACGTTGTCTCAGTGGCGAGGATACTGAAGCCTCTGGTCTTACATCTTCTACAGCAAGTGCTTCAAGTCCTCCTCACTCTCAGCGAGGTGTGTCATCTGTGTTGTGCTGATTCTTCATCCTGGCCTGATGCCACAGTCTTCTTCCCAGAGTCCAGTTTCGGGAACGATTCGCTCAGCACATGCACTGGACACGTGAGGAGCGGTCACAAAGCTCCCGCTCACCTCTCAGAACCGCCTCGCTCCGTTAGGATGACCGCGTGGTTCCCGTACAGACACAAACAATGAGGAGTGTTCCAGAAGCCTCCTCCGTGTTATCTGGACCTGATTACTACTCAGCCACAGGGCTTTGCAGCAAAGCAGAGGTAAACCTCTTTTTTGTATCTTCTGCTCTCCGCCAAGGGCCATCTGACCTCACTGAGGCCATCTCTTGTGCCATGGCCTCTCCAGAACCCAAGTCGTGCTGGTCAGTGGTCTGCATTCGCTATTTAAACAATCTTCAGCAAGTTTTACTTGTGTGTGAGAACAGTGATTTATCATTCTAGCCGTTGTTATTTTTGTTGTTGTTCGGTGCCATCAAATCGAACATGACCCACAGGGACTTTACGAATAACCTGTCCTGTCCTGTGCCATCCTCACACCTCCGGACACACTAGAGCCCACTGTAGCAGTCACTGTGTCAGTCCACCTGGT